TCAAGACACACTTGAGCGCCTTAAATGCTAACTTTTGAACGTGTTTCACGTTTATGGACGTGTGATGTCCAAACTTCTAAAAACCCCATATACTGTATAAAACATCATTATAACTCATTTTAAGACTTCATAAGCTTATAAAATACAATATATAAGCACATATAGATGCATGAGACACATAGATGACTAATCGTCGAACGTCTTGGTCGTCCCTTGATGTTTGACATCCAAATCACCTGAAACATTAAACACTACCTCTAAACCATATTTTAAGTCATTTAAGGGCCTTAAAACCCTAATAAAACCATTTTAGGCTCTATACACCCTAACTCATTTTGGGGTTCTTACATCCTTTAAGTGAGATAGGATTAGTCTCTTTGAAACAAATGGGTGACTTTTGAGATATGGGAAGTCTTATTATAGAATCACTCATAAAAATTGAAGGTTAGTCTATAATATTCTTATTTTTGTTCCTTTAAAATGTGATAATTTCCCCTAAATAATGCAGGAATATGAAATCTAGTGATGTGCTAGAAATTGGATGTTGTAAATTTACTTTCTAACATGGTGATATGCTTTGTATGACCTACCATTTTTATTTCATAAGTAAGGGAGTATAAGCATAATGTTTTTTGGTGTAAAGAAATCCTCCTTAGTATGAAATAACTTCTATGCATTGCTTTATTTGAATTGTATAATGCCATGTGTTTTTGTTGTGACTAGGAAAAGGTAGTTCCTCCCTCAACAAATCTAAGCGCGGTAATGTCATGTATGACCTTAATGGTATTATGTCTATACTATATCATTGTAATTGATCTACTTTATTTATTGTTCTTGTGCTACTAAATGAAATGTTAAAATTTTCTTATGAGTTGAAGTATGGATTATGTCTAAGTGTGCTATTGGAATCCATAGTATGTTTAACCTTGTGATGAAATTACATGCCTAACGTTGGAGAAGGTAGTTCCTCCAAATGGAAATAAATATAAACAAGTATGTACGCATGAAAAGAATTATAAAAGTAGTCCATGTTTGATTATGTTGCCTTGAATGCATGCTAGAATGAAGTTTGTGTTCCTTGTAATTTTGTACATTGATCTTTATGTGATAAATCTTATCAAGGTTGTTAGTTTCAATGGAAGTTATTGAGTCCTAAAAGTTTTTAAATGTTTCATTATCAAGGTTGTTAGTTTCAATGGAAGTCATTGAGTCCTAAAAGTTTTTAAATGTTTCAAGTGTCATTCTTGGACAAATGCTTCCAAAGTTGGGGATATTGTAACAATCCTCAAAACATACTAAGGTATCTAGAGACTAACATGTGCATAAAAGATTAATTACATGTTAATAAAGTGTTTTATAGCTTGTTAAATCTATTTTAAGTGATTTGGAGGTCAAACGTCCAAGGCGTTTGAATGTTGGTCTTTAGATGTGCTAGAGAGTCCTTGTATGTTTGCCTTTTTTGTGTTGTTTGGAGTTGAGAAGCAGTGTAGTTGTCCCTCGTACCTTAATAGACATGTTAAGGGTTAAAATGTCTAGGTATGACTCCCCGAGGACCACCTAAAAGGCCATCTATGAGGACCCAAACCTTGGACAATGAGGCTGCCCAAGGCCGCAAGAAGGCTAAGATTTGGCCTTGCCCTGTGCGATACGTGCCTAGCACTCACCTTAATGTCACAAAAATTATTTAGGGCAGAACTGGAAGTATTCCCCGTGACGCGCAGCCTACACAAAGATCCGCTTGCGTCATTTTTAAGTCAATTTTGACATGTCTAAAATTCCCAATTCGTGTGGGGGTGTTTTGGAAACATAGAGGACATTTTATTAACTTATTGAGGACATTTCTAAACCCTTTACCAAGCCAAATATATAACACCCTTTGAGAAATCACAATCCCCAAAGATGTTTTCTCTTCAGAATACCAAAATCAAGAACAAGCTATGGAGGTGGATTCTTGGAGGTTTCTTCTTTTTTAATGTATAAGGTATGGTGATCCGTCATCCTTATATAACCATTCATATACGGAGTCCTTTCAAAGGTTGTCAAACTATGATTCTAAGTCAAAAATCCTATCTTTTAATCTAGCCATGGGTTCCATCGCAAATTGATTTCAAAGCATTCTACTGATGAATATATGTTTATTTACTGATTTTTTGATGAATTTATATCCATTTTTATGAAGAATACATGATACTCCTAATTTCTCAAAGTTGTCCTATATATATTTAGTGGGTCTTGTGATATTGATTTCATGTGTATAGAATTGTCAATAGATTGTATTGAATTGTTTATTTATTACTTTCTATTTCAATTGAATATGAACTGTATAGGAGAGATCAACTATGATTATAAGATTTGAGACTTAGTAAGTTGACTTATTTCCGTAACTAGCTTAGAATGTATATTGAATTCTGTTTATTGATATGGTCTACTTATGGGGGCGGAGTTTACATTCTTGTACATGTTTATATATTATGATCATAGCCTTAAAGGAATTAGATGCAAGATAAATTTATAAGATTATTTCAATGCTTAGAAGTTGATGGATTTAGCCTTGATCCTAATATCATGTATAAGTGAATTGATGTTATGTGATGTTATGTGTATAGTCTTCTACGCCACTTGTTTAATCTAGGTATAGGGATGATGTCATATGTATATGTGTGATGATCATGTTAGGGTGAGATTGTTTATATGGATAGTGATGAGACTATTCCAGTAACATGATCCCTACTTATATGAACCATATAGAATGTTTGATCAAAGTATGCTAGAAATTCTCTATTCTAATGTTGAATATTTTAGTATATCCAATGGTGTAATGTTAATTTGTGTAGTCTATAGTCCCTAATATGCTATATATATGTATGGCTTGAGACTTGAATATTGTTGTACATGTGTAATGATCTTTGGAGGGTAACTTCCTCATGTTAAGTGTTAAGCCATTGTGTGATTATCGTGATTGCGAGTAGTTTCTTTTCATCTGAACAATATTGACAAGTTTACACATACACACTTCATGCATATCTATGAGTAGGGTAAATTCATGATGACAAAGAAAAGGTAGTTCTACTATGCATCATTATCTCTTTCTACGAATGTGAAGTATATGATTAATCAAGTTATATACATGTGTTGATTAGAGTTTTTATGTTAAGGTAGATATCACATTGTATGCACATACACATGATGTATGATTGAATGATTATGTAAAAGGATATTTTCACATAAAATAGGCTCTATGATGAAAGGACATTCTCACTTGAGAATCCATTGAGATATATGATATATGAAGGAATAATCTCCTAAAGCCTTTTTTTGAATTAATAAACTAAACGTATAAATATATTTAAAAGGGGAGTTAGATCCTACAACCGAGTGAACGTGACAAATCAGAGTCGGAGCATCAAGTTAATATGTTCAGCTTCCTATAAAAAGAACCTTTGCATTTAGCAATACCGGGTTCCCAACATAGATGTTGTCTCATTAGATGGAAACCACCAAGCTAGTAGGTTGTGGTTTCCACCTAGATAGCTATGAATGTATAGTTGCACCTTAAGCAGTTGTTAACCCTGTCTTTTCGGTATGGGAGTAGAACACCGGATTCCATTTAGCTTACATGGTCTATGTTGGTTATGACTATGTCTCGCAAAGTAACAAACAAATAAAGATATGATTATAGACTCTAATCAAAACTCCTTGAGGAGATTACATAGTATAGGTAAGACTATGGACCCTAACCATGAATTGCACTTATGCACTCAAAGAAACGACAAGATTAGTATATGTATGAAATTAAGACTTAAGTTATGTATGTATGAATTGTAGATTTGCATTATAAGTGACTTTGCTATTTCGAGATATGAATTATGATTATGAATGTTAATTAAACTTGTGACTACTAAATGTGTTTACTTATTACATGTGGGGGCATGGGAATCCATGTGCACATTGCACAAGTAAGATTGTGAAGGGGTTATGAGGGTAGTTTATCTATGATATGAAATAAATGAGTTATCACTAAGGTTGTGGTAATGTAAAGACTCTTTACATGATGCTACGAAGTTTGTGGCCTTATGTCTTGTTATGAATTATAGTGTTATGACTTCATAAATATGCTATATCTAATCAATACACTTGGTGGATGTAGTATCATGGGATGCTGCCTACATATTGCACTACTCTGACTTAGGAGTTGTCTTAGGTGATGGTCTTTATGTGATGTTGATATCTATGATGCACTTATGGTTTATTAATATATGTGGTTTTGTTATGAAATCATATTATGAAATAATATTGTAAGGTGACCTTAAAGTGATACATTGTACTAAGTACACTTGAGGGTTACTTAAGGAAAGAAGTAAGATAGAAAGAGAGGTAATGTGTGGTCTGTATTGAATATGCTTTAAAGTATGTTAAATGGATTTATTTGTTATTATGGATATTGTCCATGTCTATATGATGTATGCGAACTATATTGAGCTTATATGTGCCTATGTTCATGAAGTTTACTAAATCGACATGTTGCATGATTTCAAATGAAATGTTGTCTTGAAATGCTTGTTTTTGCATGGTTGTCATACCTAGTGCATTCTTGTACTAATACCATTCTTCTTCATCTTTTTACAAAAAGTGTAGGTGGTGATGGCTAGAGGATGTCTTCTAAAACAAGATCTTGGATAGATCTCCCAAGTTCAAATAAAGAGACCCTTATGATTTAAGGGTTGCTTATGACAAGATGTACTTATGGTTAATCTAATAGTTTAAACTTATATTTTATGTCATTAAGGGATGTGTCCCTATTCTATTCTATTGACTTCTGTCTTAAGATGACAAAGACACTTAAAGTCTAATTATGCATAATGATATTTTGTGTATATATAAAGTAATGTTTTATCATCTGATGTGGTATGGATAGCTCTAATTTATTCACTATTTTTACGATTATACTATTAATGATGTCTAAGGCCTTGTCTTAGACTTCTAAGAGCTCGACAACGCCGCGTGGCGATCTAAGAGTACCTTCATTTCTAAGGTTTATTTCGGGTCATTACACCCATACATCAATACAATAATACTACATATATATCATACAATACTTAGTATCAAAATGAAAAGCAATGATACATAATAGTCTTGCAACTAAACAACATCATAGCTTCATAGTGGCATTGCCCTCGGAAAGTGAGGACCTACCCAACTTGTATGTTTTTGAATTCCAAGTCTTCTTCAAAGTCATCCAAAAGACGTTGAACGACTGGAACCTAAAATGTTGTGTAAAAAAAAGAAAATGGGTTTATTACACCACTTGTACTATGAATGAGACCATATGCACACATATTATCAAACCATGCTAAAACGGGACCTTTCATGAAAGCATGCTATTTTACCCTTTGATAACCTTATGCACATTCAAGAAGACCATACAAAAAAAACATATTCCTTGAAACATAGGCATGTACATCACAAAACCAACAATAAAAGGAATTATCAAATTAATGTACATATCAACATACTAGAATATATAATCAAGATCACTCTAGTCATCAAGTTATAACTTTGATAGGCATGAATAAGAGTTCAGTATAACGTAACAAAAGAAAAATAATTAACCATTAACCCCTATTAAGTCAACAAGTGAAATGACAGACCGAAGCCCCATAACATTAGTCAATCAAGCCACCCAACAAGAATCATGACCAACATTCCACTTCACAAAGCATGACATTTAGGAGTACATATCATCATACATTAACAATATATACCAACACATATTCATAAGTGAAATGAATAAACATATATTATAAGCAATGTGCAAGTTCATCATATATATATCATGTACCATTATAAGCATATTCATACATAAGAACATCATCCTAACACTTTCTTCAAGGCTAACTAGTGCAATGTTTAAGTAGTCCCATACCCCTACCTAGACTAATCTAAACCACTTAGGTTATCTTTGTTAGAGTTCATACCTTTAATTCATTTTACCTATTGGGAAAATCTTGCCTTAACTGACATAGACCACGTGAGCTGATGTGGAATACGGTGTCATGGAACCCCACTTCTAATGAAGGCGGACTACTTACCAAGGTAGTACCAAAAAATCAACAAAGCAACTATGTCGATCCACTAGCTAGTATTCCTATTGGAGCAACATAGTTCAAGAACTAGGAGATATAGTCGGGAACATGCATGATAGTCTCCAATATCATGAGTATATTAGAACTCATACCTTCTCTATGTGGGAAGGGACACTCCTCACTCTAGTTCACTCGGTGCTAACCTAGAGTCTTTTTTTAAATGTCTTTAATGTCTTTATTAATCATCATAGATTAATGTAAGTCATATGGTCTATCCCTTGTATAATCATCATCATCATAGCTAAATAAGAATTGCATGATTATAATGCTTTCATTACAATTCATGTAAGTGAGGTTAGCACATTTACATATCACTTCATAATAAGGAACTTTGGTGAAAAATCACCATCCTATTAACATTTACATCTTAGACAACACCTCACAAACGATAGTCAAGACATTTCAATTCAACATCATATAAGCCCGCCTTATAAATTGTGATTCAAGGAATAATCCAATGCAACATCATGACTTAATCACAATTAACCATATTTGAAGTAGAGAATAGGGATCACAAGACTTACGAAGTCTCGTTCATAATTCATCATAAAGGTCTTAGAATCAACCCTTAACTCAAACCAATTAGGGTGTAGTTTTATCATAAAACAATTACCAACATAATAACAAGGCTAATTGAATCACTACATCACAATTCATCAGTACTTCTTATCTTAAGACAAGATACTTAGGTCAAAGTTACAACATACTTCATAACCTAGATCAACTTCTCAACAACTAGAATTATAGGACTATAATTCACCCTAAATTATTTATAATTTATGGAATAACATCATCTAGAAATATTTCAACCAATAACTATGTCAATTGAACCAACATTACACAATTCACATCAAGATCACAACGTAGGGTTAAGGGAAATAGGTTATCTTCTACAACTAGATAAATCCATAAATATATAACAAAATATATTTAAAATACATCTTAATATATTCATCATATAAAAAATCATAAACAAATCAATTCACAACATCAATTTCGGATTTGATGAAAACCCACTTTTGTAATAAATTTGATGGAACCCTTTGAGGAAAGAGGTATCAAAGGTGAAAGAGATCCCATAACTTTCTAATTAATGAAGATTGATGGATAAAATTCTCCATTTTCAGACCTTAAACCCTCCCCTAGCTTGTTTTTCAATGGAGTTCTTCACTAGAGAGAAAAAGAGGAGAGAAGGAAGAGAGTTTGGGTTTGTGAATACTGAGATATTTGGTTAGTTTAATTGGGTTAGAACTTTATAGAGGAGGTTAAATAATTAATTATACCTCCCCTAACACCTAATTGATTTCCTAACTAATTCATCTAATTAAATGGAATAACTCAAAATCTGCAGCAAAACACAGGCATCCCAGACGACCCCACGATCGACGGATTGTGGGTCAATCGACGGCCACTACTCTCTCAATGATGCACATCCATCTCTAAGTTCAAAGACTGTGCAATATGACCTTTTTTACAAATTTATAATTGTGCATCGACGCCAAGTCCATTGACAAAATCCCCGTCGATGGAACTCGTCTGAGCACACTGCCTTGAGCAGTCCTTTGACCCCAAAATGCAAAGGTCCTCCTAAAGGGCCCTCGGTTGGTCCTTGGGGAGTCATTCCCGTAAGTTTCGACTATGAACTTACTCTAAGACAAAATAAACACCCTTCAACCAATTTTTATCATTTTACGACTCCTTAAAGCTAGTCAAATAAGCTAAGGCGCGCTAGAACCTCATTGAACTAGTTTCCGGACGTCATGGATGTTCTTCAAAGTTTTTGTTTTTAGACTTTCTAAATGACTTATATTTATTAAAATTGACCTTAAAAAGTGTCTAAAACTTTTTACACTTATGTTAGTCTCTAGAATACATATTGAATTTTTGAAGTGTTACATAAGTCACTATGTTCATTAATTCATTTAGAAGACATTCAACAATTAAGGACTTTCACATAATGGTTTTGGAGAAGATTTAGGGAACATACACACTAGCATCTTTAATGGCTTCTACTGCAATATCTAGATAGTGTTCCATTCCACTACCTAACCATTATAGAACTTAACAACACTATAATGTATTGCACATGATTAGAATAGGCAATAATCAACATCGACCATAAAAGCTAGTCATGGAATCTGGAGTCAAACCCTACTCGGATGGAGGGTGTTTTACTTGCCAATGGTAGAACTAGGACACATCCGATGCAGGCACATAGTTAATGAATATCAAGGGTTTCTTTGAACTCTAGTCTCATCTAATGAAGAGTCACACCCGAAGTATACTCACTCGTTGTTAGCCTTTGTTCTTATAGTCTAATTCAATATAAGGGCATATGAAGAGGTATCATATAGAAGTCACAAATAAATCATAATACACATCACTAAAGGATGTCCACTAGGTTGCGACACAATGGTAAAATAGGATCGCTCGATGACTTTCTTAGGGACGATTTCATGTCGTTCCAGCATACCTACCCCAAAGTCCATCATTCATAAAAGAAGGATACCATTAAAACTTTCAACTTCAAGAATATTATAACATCCTTTCTAGAAGGTTCCATATTAATGTCCCGCTTGACTATGTTAAAGGTGAAATTCAAATAAAAAATTTACATACATGACAAAGGTTCTTTACCCTAATAGCTCAAGGATTTATTTTAACATTTTTCATGTATTAAGTAAGGGACATAGGTCTACCAAAACAAGACACATTTCATTATCATCTTATCACATGTACAATATTATTCAAGTAGAACATAGGGTCAACTAAGTATACTTCCAAGTCAACCCACTCACTTCTATAGAAACACCACTATAATCAATCACAAGACTCATATAGTCAACGAGGAAGATTCATAGTATAACATTAATTATACACATATAAGTCATCTCTTTAGCCTATCATGATTATAGATAATCACTTAGAAAAACAGATGATTGGACTTCACATATACACATACACCAGGTAGATCTTCACAATGATCATATATCATAGTTTTAACATGCTAACATCATAATTCATAAATTCATGCTGACAAGGACACATTCTTCAAAATTATATCACATAAGCACTGCCACCATACGTGGAACATACCAATCATCACAATTCAATGACTATACTACACAATAAAGAGAAGTTTAGGTAAACATACACCCAATCCAATCTCAACAACTCCAATCAATAGCCAATTAAACCATCTCATTCCTCAAATGCTCTTACCAACAGCCACAGTCACCAATTCAACCCAATAATCATAATATCTAATGCTCAAAGATAATATAATATGAAATTCATGAATTTAGGATAACATACATACATTTATAATATGCTTCTTACATAATTCAATAGCCCAAAGGAAACTACACAACAAATCAGTACAATTGAGACATGATCAAATCTCCCATAATATATTAAAAATAAGAAAATCATGATTTGCATGGGTTCATGGTGGTTTTTTTGTAAATCAACATATAAACATCATTTTAATCTTAATTCATTTATTCAAAACGTTTTATATAAGAACCCATGGCTAGATTAAAAAATACAACAATTCTTCTTTTGAAAAGATCTTAGAAATCATTTTTAAGATTGGCTCCTTAAATAAAAAGATTCAAGGATATAAAACCATACCTTAATTGATGACTATCCACGAAATTGAAGGAGAATTGATGGAAAAATCATGATTCAAGCTCCCTCCTTTATTAAAGATCCAATGGAGTTCTAGAGAATTCTTCTTTTGGGGTTTGGATTTTTATTATTAAAAATGAAATTGGCTTGGGATTCTATATTTATAAAACCACTTAAATATCCATCATAAGCTGAAATAAATTCCCCAAACCATTTTGAAGAATAGTAGGTGAATTTCCCAAAATAGCCTTGGCTTGGCCGAGACCCTCTAGAAAATTATGCAGGTCACCATCGATGGACGTGTCGATGCCTTGTAGACCCACATACAGACCATCCTGCTAGTTCGTGGTTTGGATTAGAGGTTCACCAAATGGGATATTATTCTCCCCACGCTAAGTGTCAAACTATGCCCTTTTCGATGGGGCATTGATGGACCTATGGTTGGTTGACTGTCCTCATTGGTTGGGACTATTTTTGACAAATTTGAATCACAAGTTTTGTCCTTATCAAGGACCCTTAGGTTGGTACTTAGGGAGTCGATCCTGGATTTTTCAAACCCAAATACCCTCGTACACAAATCAGGTACCTCTCATAAATTTCAACAAAAGTGAACATGTAAATCATGCAAAGGCAAACTTAAACATAAAAGCACGTCTCAAGACAAATCTTTTGAAGGTCTTGGACGTTCTTTGATGGTTTGACCACCAAACACCACCAAACTATAGATACTGCCTCAAAACACTATAACAAACTAGTTTAAGGCTTCATAACCTCATGATACACATGTTAGGCTCTAGATTCATCTAATTCATTTTAGATGTGTTATAACCATCTAGAATAAGTTTCTCGTCCCTAGTATTGATGACTTATTAAACAAACTTCATGGTGCTAGATACTTTTTAAAGATAGACACTAAATCTTGCTATATTCAGGTAAGATTTAAAGATATTGGTATTTTGAGGATACCTTTTGGAACTTGGTGTGATCACCTTAAATTATTAGTTATGACTTTTGACTAACAAATGCTCCTGCAACTTTCATGGATTTTATTAAATGCGTGTTCAAGTAGTGTTTTTATTTTTCTTTCATTTTATTTTTGCATGACGTACTCATTTATTCTCTGAATAAGGAGAAGTATGCGACTCATCTTAGAGTTGTTTTGCAAACTCTCAAGGATCGCCAGTTATGAGCTAACTTCAACAAATATGAATTCTACATACAATGTTTCACTTTCCTTTTTCATGTGGTAGCCAACGAAAGGGTCTAAGTGAATTCATATAAAATTGAGGTTGTACAAAACATGACCTCACCCACCGCCCAAACAGATATGAGAGGTTTCTTTAGCTTGGAGGGGTATTAAAGGAGATTTGTAGAAGGATTTTAATCCAAAGTTCCCCATTGGGGAAATTGACTCAAATGAAGGTCGAATTTCATTGTTCAAATGAGTGTGATAAAAGCTTTGTAGAGCAGAAGAATAGGTTGGATACAACTCAAGTTATAAATCTACCAGATAGCTCATACAATTATTAGATTTATTGAAATGCATCAAGGGTTGGTATAGGTCGTATGTTGATCGATCGAGGTAAGGTGATAGCATATGCTACCAAAAATTTTAAGGTATTAGTAACTACCCAACTCATGCGCTCGAGCTTGTAGTCGTACTATATACCATAAGGATTTTGAGCAATTATTGTATGGTGTTCATGTTAATGTATTCATGAATAATAAGAGAGTCTAGTATGTGTTCACCCAAAAAGAGTTGGATCTTCCTTACAGGAGATGGATTGAAATTCTTAAGGACAATGACATTAATGTTGTTTACCATCTTGGTAAGTTCGATGTAGTGGTTGATGCTCTCAGTAGGATGTCTATGGGAAGTGTAGCACATGTGGAAGGAGAAAAGAAAAGCTAGACAAATATGTTCATCCGTTTTGTTCTCTTAGGAGTTTGTTTTAAGGACACATCATATAGTGTGGTGACCGATCAAAATAGATAAGAATCTTAATTGGTAGCGGGGTAAAGGAAGAACAAGGTAGTAATCCTATATTACTTCAGTTGAATGGTGCAGTTCATCACCACAGGATTCAGGTATCCTCCCAAGGGAAAGATTGTTTACTTTGTTACATGGATTGTGTTTTTCTAATGTTGTTGAGTTGAGGCAGCATATCCTTAAGAGCCTCATAACTTTAGATATTACTTTATTCAGGTGCAACTAAGATGCATTGTTATCTATAGGACGTCTTTTGTTTTAACAACATGAAATTGGACATAGAAGATTTTGTGAGTAAGTTTCTTAATTCTGAACAAGTTAAGATTAAACTTCAGAACCCATGAGGTATAACTCAAGAGATTAGAATTTCTTCGTGGAAGTGGGAAGTATGGGAACTGATAAACATGTACTTCATTATGGTTTCAGCTCGTACTTGCAGAAAACATTACTCCAATTGGGTGATAGTGAACAGAGTCACTAAGTCCGCTCACTTCTTGGTTGTCAAGACTACTTATTCAACAGAGGACTACGCCAAACTCTAGATCAATAAGATAGTCAGGTTTTTATGGGGTTCCTTTTGTATCATCTCAGATAAATGTATTCAGTTTACCAATCATTTTTGGAAATGATTTCATAAATGCTTTGCTATCCATGTAAATCTTAGTACAACATTTCATCTGCAGGCGGATGATTAGGCAGAATGAACCATTCATACTTATTGATTTAAAGGTAAATTCGAATGATCACCTACCTCTCATGATGTTCGCCTAAAATAATGGCTTACATTTCACCCTTACATAAAGGGGGGATAAAGAGACGCCAGTTTTCCCAATAACAGTAAAAAAGTTTGCTTCAAGTTTCAAAAAATAAAATCGAAAGACTTCTTTATATATTTTTTTCAGCATGCATGTGGAATTTCATTAGTGAGCTCCTATCATCTACTAGGTCCCTAGAAATTACTCAGCTCTTTGATTCTCCATCCTAAAATTTCTAAAACCTTGGTTATTTAGAGTATTTAGCTATTATAGTATTCTAAATAAAATAACATGTTTCTTGGAATGTTAGTTTAGTCACTTGCATGAAACATAGAACCATAGTTGTCTAGATTCTCCTAGTTCATGTATTACACATTAAAGGGCAGTAATAGAAATAATCATGCTCCACTTTGAATGTTAATATTAATGTTGTATATATATATATATTAGACATTGCATGTCAGTATATTTTGAACTATTCAATATTTCTGTCATAATGTGTCATATATAATTCACTTGGGAGTACACTTAGCATTAACTTTGTATAAGATATAGCATACTGTAATTGTCCAAGAAGTACATACTCTCATAAGATATAAGTCCCCTGTGTAGGAATCAAATTTTGTGATCACGTCCCCTTGAAAAGGTATCATCTGTCTTCTCAGTGGGGCATATACATTAGACTCCATATTTAGCTCATATTGTTTTATGTCGGTTAAAAGTAGATTCCATAGATATAATCTTAGTAAGCTTCTTCATGTTTTACATATATACTTTAATATTTAGTTTAGAATTTCATATTAATGATTAGCACTTGATCATCGTTTTGTATTATCCTTTCAGTATTTATATTCTTCTTAAATTTAAACTATCAGTTTTTCTGTGTTTTAGATTATTTGTGTTTGTTAATCTTACCATCTATGTCCTGCATCCTCACTAAATTCTAACTGCTAACGCGTACTGTTCCCTATTTATTTTCATGATATAGGTTTAGGTATTCAACATTTAGACCATGCTTAGATAGATTTTTGTTAAACATTCAACACGATCAGCATTGAGTGCTAATAGGTTGAGGACAATAGACATATTTTCATTTCAGTCTTTTTCATTTCCGTTTAAATCTTTTACACTTAGTTGGGGCATGTCCCATCAAATCTTCTTTCTCAGAGTATTGTCAAACATATTAATGTATTAACCTTTAGTTGTTAAGTGATTGTTTCATCTGTCGCTAAACTCTTAGCATGTTTAGCATATTCAAACAAGTTGTTTTTTTCACTACTTTTAGTTACCCCTTGTTTACCTTCTACATAGTTCAAGTTCTACTTAGTCACAGTTATTTTGGGGTCATTTGTAATCCCAGGTCCCATTTTACGTCAATGGGATAACCTCAAGGCGTGACATATATTGTGTCAATAGAAAATTGTTTCGGCAAGAAAATGGTTATTTTGTCTTGATCATTTGATGTTTGTGTTTGACTTACTTGATACTTAAGAATTATGTATTTGTTGTGTGTTCTTGTTATTAAGATTTACTTATTTAAATTGTATTATTTTTTAATTGTGAAGGTTGAACTATCAATATTGGCCCTTGTGAGTATTGTTTAATTTTTTGGTTGGACTAACTGCTATGAAGGCTGTCATTTGAGGATGTTCAGTTGGAGTGTAAGGGGTATTCGATTTCTAGATACTTGGTTTGTTTAGTTGGTTTCTAGTTGTATACCCTTTTGTTGATTCTAACTCATTGCTTCTAAACTTATGTAGGTTCCAAGCCTGGATGCATGTGATCTTGATCGTTTCTTTACAATCGAGGATTATTCAAGGATCTTAGGGATAAGTATTTGTCATCCATGTTGGTCCTCATTTCCTTTTTATTAAGCTTTTTTTTACTTGAGAAGCAAAGACTGTGACTTATATTTATCTTTCAAATTATACATTTACTTTTCTAGCTTGTACTCATGACAATAAGGGTTTGGGGTATCATTTTGAATGAAGAAGTTTCCATCATTTTCTTGTTCTTAATTTAGTATTTTTGACATTTCTTTTTTATTCGATTGGTTGAGGTAACTTATCTTATTGGGAAAAGACAATATCATCACATCCATTTTTCGATTGTGAAAACAACTAATAAAGTTAATGAATGAGATGGTGAAGCAAATAATAAATATCATACACGATTCAAAAAAAATTACCACTTCATCAAATAATATTAGTTTCCAACGAACACACTAACTATTACCATTTTCGAATGATTTTATTCAGTTTCATCGAATGACTAAAACTTAAATCAGTTATTTTATTTTATTTTTATAGCTTGCTTCAACCTGATAACATGCATGTATTTTTTTTACGTCTTATTCTTTTGACATTATAATTATATTGATCTCGGGGTGAATTTACTAACAATATTTGTTTCAAATTAATGTAGGAACAAATACTTATATCCAATCTTATA